ACCCGAAGTAGTATTTCTGGGTTAGTGGAGTCTGTAACCTGAAGCGTATGTAACCCGAGGTACCACTGTATTAGAAATACTAGAGTAAGTCAGTTCCTTGTCTGCAGATGGAACTTCCAGGTTCGCACTATATGGCAAACATAGGAATTCCTGTCTTGGCTACCACATTTTATTTGTTTGGAGAAAGCAGACACATAATGCTGCCCAAAAATCCTAGATTTCACCACTGCTTTCTATAGGCAGCTCTTATTTCTGTCCAGGGGGAGAAGAGAGTCTGAACTGAAAGCAGAGGCCAAGCAAAATATGTGAATTTCAGTAAAGTCTATGGCAGATAGAGACACTTAAGTATTAGGGTTTCAGTTGACTATGGGCTAGGCGGGGGGTGGGGCAAGGGGGACTGAAGGGCTGGAGAAGAAACTAGCCTGCTCAAGCCCCTGACAGCTTATTGCAGGTATCTTGGAGAGGGCAGGAAATAGGGAAATGACATGTATTCCCTTTTCCACTCTACAAAACCCTACCACCTATATAGCAGTGAAATGCTGAGGTTTGACTTAAAGAAAATCATCCACCCTTGAGAGACCTGAACTACAAGGTTCCTATTTGAGGTTCAATGGCACACTGAACAGAAGAACTCCTCTTATAGCACAGGGAGGCCCTTTAGTTACAAGGTCTCACTTCTATGTTGATTAACAGCAATAAAACAATCTATTACACTATTTTGTACAAAAAAGCTACTGAACACAATATATATTTCAAAAATGTGTGAATCTGTCTAGTTTTCCTTTCTATACCAAGCATTAATATAACAACATGCAATATACACTACTGATAGTTCTTTCATTTATGAGATATCAATACAAATGGCAGGCCAATACTCACAAACTAAGTTTCTAAACAGAGTTTTTGTCAATGTGTATTTTCATTCCCTATTAATTTCATGAGAATGATCATTTCTGTACTTTCCACATACTTAAAATGAGAAAGAATATCAGTATCAATGTGATTATTATTGGAAGCAGCTACATGCTGACCAGAAGGAAAATTCCAGTCCCTCTTCTGGATAAGATGTTCCTATGGATGCATCTGATTGAGATATTATTTGTGGTATTGTAACCACATGCAAAAGTTTAATCTACCGCTTAAAGAAAACACACAAGACATAGTGTCAGAAATATCAATGTTTAACTGTCCGTAAACCCTATAACCTAAGATAATTAAGAAAAAGACACGAGGCAACAGGTGGAGCTACAAAGCAGCAATACAAGAAGGTTCTTGGGAAAGATAAACATGACTGCCCTGGATTTTGAACCTCTAGAAAATTTATTCAATATTCACCAACCTTTCTCAAGGACAATCAACTTTCAGACTTTTCAAATATTGGCTAATAGATACCAGCCAACTACTTTTACTTTCACTACACTAATGCTACTGATGGAAAACCACTCACATTCCAAGCCCTTTAAATTTTGTCAGTATCTAGCACATGAGGATTACAGTCTGGAATCCCTACATTACTCCAATTAAATAACCTCCATCAACAGAAATGTCTATATGATGAAGAGTATATACCTCATCCTTTTATTTGGTCTACATAACAGACCTTTATCAAATGGCATAAGCAACTTCATTATCCCTGCTTCCTCATTAGCAGAAGACAGTGCCATCCAAACAGTTTACAATGTTATTACTCTTTACTCCCACATACTCCCTCAACTTCTTATCTGATTAGATGATTCATGGAGCAGTGTGCTGCACCTAGGCCTGAATTCAAATTTCAGTTCAGAAATGCCAGGTTACACCGGCTTTCCCCATCTGTAAAAATAATGATCCAATCTTATCAGACTATGGTCATATTCACTAAAAATATGGTAAAGCACTGTTAAAGAATATATAAATTAACATGTTTTTACACGATTTTAGCCAAAAGTTATTATGCACTCATTTACTTGCACTACTTCTACCATCTAGTGCTAAAGCAATTCCAGTACAATTCTCAAAATAAAAATGAGCACTGGGGCTGCTACTTTCATTCTGAGAAGTTTCTTCTAACTTTTTGTTAACATTCCCAACCACATTGGTCTCAACCCTACTTGCTACATTGTGATCCAATACTAAATTTCTACACTTCTGTCCCCCCCCCACAACTGAAATCAACATGCATTTATCCCAACTTTCCAGCAAGCTGTAAGTAACTTTTCCACCTTTTGACCACCTTTCTATTACAATAGCGCACTGGCCCTCAACAGGTGGCTCAGGGCTGGAGATCCAATCTCAGGATGGTCCTGGCAGAGATGCCACTGCTCTTTTGTGAAGAGAAGCAGCCTCCTCCTGCTTGGAGCATGCACTACTGAAAAGCTGTTCCTCCTTCAATTATTTGTCTGCAGGGAGAATACAGTGGGTGGAACAGCACACACTCAGAAGGAAAAGAGACGTAAGAGAGAGTGACCACTTTTAAGCTAAAATGTAACTCCATGGGTATATTTGGTAGCTATGTCTCCCTCTGCAGCTCTACTGTCCCTTCACACAGTGCAAGCCTGAGTGTGGCACAATGTACATGCCCAGAGGGCTCTTCCCATTTGTTCTGAGGCTGTATCCCCATATCCCTATGCTTGGCTCCAAGTCATGAGAGACAGGAGAATGGGGGGTAGCTGCATATCCCACCAGGACTGGGCAGAGGCTCTTCGGGTGCTTGTCTCCTCCTTTGTACAATGACATCAAAGTGCTGGGTTGGCAAGGAAGAAGGTAGGTGAACAGGTCATGGAGCACAATGTGTAAAGTGAAGCTGCTTGGTGGCAGAGGATTCAAAAGCACAAGAAAAAGCACACCTTAAACACAGCATTTTCCTTAACATTCCATTTCCTCCTGGGGTGCATGGCTTCAACCCTTAAGCATGAGCTCTGCCCCTTTATCAGTCAGCCCCTCCTCTTGACTGCATGGGTTCTTGGAAGTGGGTCTTGTGTTAGAAACTGGAGTACCAGGTGACAACCAGTTCCTGACAAGCAGAAGATAGTAAATACATTTTATGGAGAAGAGTTGCCAATTTACCAGTAGTAGAAGGCGGCACCAAAGACCATGTGAGAGTATGTAAAATGCATATATGACTTTCTGATCCGGAGATATGACCAGTGGACAATGTTTGCCAACCAATGTAGCAGGCAGCCAACTACATCCAAGGCCAACAGAGAAGTATACCTTGCTCTCAAACCTGTTGGAAAGTGGGGTGGTGATTAAAAAGCTACTTCAAACCACCCTAATGACCTCCTCACCATGCAAAACATATCCCTGCAGAAACATTAAAGTAGCCCATCTAGATCAGCACCTGTTTCCCAGTGGCTAATCAGATTCCTCCAAGAGGTCCATAAACAGGGCATTAAAGTAACAGCCCTCTCTCCCTCCCAGCAGCTGTGATTTAGTGGCATTCTACCTTTTAACTTGGACGTTCTGTGACATCCACTTCAGGAAAAAAAGCACCTCACCAAATTTGATGTGAAGCACATGCCCACCATTTACACCCCCTGTGTGTACACACACACACACACACACACACACACACATATATTGGGTGGGTGGTGATCTGTGCTCATTACTACCCTAGTTACAGGTAGGTAGCTGTAGTCGAAACAAAATTTAAAAAATCCTTCCAGTTGGTCTCTAAGGTGCAACTGGATATTTTTATTTTGTCATTACTACCCTATACACTGGTAAGAAGTGCCCTGATGGAACAGACCATTTAGGCCTTATTTAGCCTTGCATCTAGTCCAGCACTCTGTTCTCATGGTGGCCACAGGAAGCCCACAAGCAGCACATAAGGGCAATAACATTTTCCAGCTCCTAATCCCCAGCAACTGGTATTCAGAGGGATACTGCTATAGTAGCACTATATAGGTATGCTGTAGGCAATATACACCTGACTATATATATATGGAGGTAAAGCCAGGGATAACTCAAAGAAGAATGGAGAGCATGGAGTGTCTGTGTGGCATAAGAGGGTTGCAATCATTGCTCATTAATCCCCCCCCCACACACACTTCCAACAAGTAAAAGGACTTCCTTCCCTAAACAGCCTTGGGCTAAAAACTGGTGAAGGAAGAAAGCACTGAAGGCAGAAGGGGGTTGGTAGGAGGGAAGAGCAAAGAAAGGACGCGGGGAAAGAAAGAGGTGGAAGAGAGAGCGAGGGAAAGACAGCTAGAGAAGGTGTGACAGAGAGGCGGCGGCAGCAGCAGCAAGGCCCAAGCTGCGCCTTTCCTCCTCCTCGTGTGAACGCAGAGTGGGAGCAGCAAGAGGGCTCAGGCTGGCCGCGTCGGTCCCTGGAGATGGATGAGGGGTGTCGGAAGGGCAAGGCACGGCAGGGCCTCGGCTTCTCACGTACTCACCAAGCCCGCCAGGGCAGCCTCCCTCGCCCTCTCTCTCCCTTTTGCGCGCGCGCGTGTGTGGAAGAGGTGGCGTCTGAGGCGATGCCCCACGCCCGCCTCGGCTTGACAGCTCGACCCCGGCGGCGGCCACCGCCTGAGAGGACTCGCGGTCCTCCTCCTCCTCCATGTGGTTAAGGGTGGCACAAGAGAGAAGGCGACGGCGGCGGCAGCAGTGGGCGAGGAGGCGGCCACTCCCCTCTTCCTCAGGGAATCCCCCCCATTTCTCTCCCCCCCCACACCCCACCACCAACACCCACCCCGCCTAATTTTTCCCGCCCACCCGGGCTTTCTCCTTCCCTCAGCGCCTCCTTGCCTGAGGGAGGGCAAGAGAAGGAAGCGCTTACCCGGTGGCGGTGGCTGAGCCTGAGGAGGAGGGCGGGTGGCTGGCAGGCTGGCAAAGGCCCTGCCTGAGGCAAGGAGGTGGCGCGGCGGCGGCGGTGGCTGAGGGGAAAGGGGGGCGGGGCGCGACGCGGCGTGATTCGCTCCCTGCCCCCGCCCTCTCCCTGCTCACCCCGAGACTCCCCCGTCCCCTCCCCTTTCCCTTTCTCGTCCTCGCCCGCCAATAGCCTATTGGCGGAGCCGCCCTCGCCTCCCGCTCCCCCTCCCTCCCTCCCTCTCTCTCCTCACGGACTCTCTCTCTCTAGTTCGCGCGCGCCTTCCCTCTCACTAGGGGAAGTGACAGGGGCAGAGAGGGAGAGGGAATCCGCGCGCGCGCCGCCAACCGCCTGCTCCGCAACCCCAGCCAACCCGGGGAGGGGACACTTAATTCTTCTTCTTCTTTTTTCGGGGGAGGAGGGCTCGCGTGTATGTCTGTTGGCGGTTGGGAGGTGGTGGTTGGTTACGGGTGGTATAAGGTAAGAGAGGAGGGAGGTTGTATTTGCATATTTGTCACCCGCTCGCTGATTGGTCAGAAGGCAGGGTGAGCGGTAGAGTCAGTGGGTGGTTGGCAGCGGGGGAGAGTTGAAAAAGGGGAAGACTTTTGCCCGCCCCATTTTTTTGCGTGGGGGGAGTGGGCGGGGCAAAGGACTTGGCAAGAGAGGGGGCAGGAGAGGCTCAGGAAATCCTGCTGGTGCGGCTACTACTCAGAAATGATGCATTAATAATATAAATACAGTATAAGAAAAAAATATTTTTATTAATATCATTTTAGGGAACATAGACATCTCCTGTGGGAGAAATGAGACTGGGTGGGGGTGCTTATATATGTATATATTTTTATTTGTTTATAAAATTTTTACACTGCCCTTCACCTGAGAATCACAGGGTAGTTTACAATATAAAAACACAAAAATGCACAACATGGTAACAAACAAAAACGAAATTCTGTGGGGCTTCCCTTGTGCTTAGAATCATAGAATTGTTGAGTTGGAAGGGACCTTGAGGGTCATCTAGTCCAACCCCATTTTATTATTTTATTTTATTGTTTATACCCCACTCATCTGACTGGGTTGCCCCAGCTACTCTGGGCAGCTTCCAACATATATAAAAACTATAAAGAATTAAACATTAAAAAGAACTTGCCTATACAGTGGTACCTCGGGTTACATATGCTTCAGGTTATGTACGCTTCAGGTTACAGACTCCGCTAACCCAGAAATAGTACCTTGGGTTAAGAACTTTGCTTTAGGATGAGAACAGAAATTGTGCAGCGGCGGCGCAGCGGCAGCAGGAGGCCTCATTAGCTAAAGTGCTTCAGGTTAAGAACAGTTTCCTCTTAAGAACAGACCTCCGGAACGAATTAAGTACTTAACCCACGATACCACTGTACTTCCTTCTGATGTCTTCTAAAGGTTGTATAGTTACTTATCTCCGGGGTCGCATAACTCCATACCCTCCAAAATTTCTCCGCTGAAAATTATTTATTTATTTATTGATATCTCGCCCTCCTAAAAACAGTAAAATAATACAGCATTCTAAAATCAATTCATTATAAATTCAGTTCAAATCAAATTAATGGCAACCATTGGGCTAGAGTTCTGTGAGGATTACCAAAGGAGGGGGGTCAGGCTGTGCCTTGGCCAAAGGCCTGGTGGAACAGCTCTGTCTTGCAGGCCCTGCGGAAAGATGTCCTGCAGTCCTGCAGGGCCCTAGTCTCTTGTGACAGAGCGTTCCACCAGATCGGAGCCACAGCCAAAAAAGCCCTGGCTCTGGTTGAGGCCAGCCTAACCTCCCTGTGGCCTGGGACCTCCAATATGTTTTTGTTTGAAGACCGTAAGGTCCTCCATGGGACATACCAGGAGAGGCGGTCCCGTAGGTACGAGGGTCCTAGGCTGTATAGGGCTTTAAAGGTTAAAACCAGCACCTTAAACCTGATCCTGTACTCCATCAGGAGCCAGTGTAGCTGGTATAGCACTGGGTGAATGTGATCCTGCGGGTTGACATAGCAGCCGGCACAGTGATTTCTTCAAGTAGCTATTTATTATGGTAAGCTGGAATAGAACTGACTGCGAACAGCTCAGCCGGCCTGTATTTATAGGCAGCCGGCTGTCAACATTGTAACCACAACAGCCCAGAGTTCCCGCCTAAAATAACTGCCGCGGACCTGAGTGAAAACTATCTACAGACCTGAGTGAAAACTATATACAGTATCCCCCTGTTGGCCCAGGGTGAAACTACACTACATAACACCCCTCCCCACCGAGATAAGGCGTTAGTTACAATCGTAATGGTTTCCTTATATACAGCACTACGCGTAATGGTTCCATTAAGCACAAAAGCATATCGGTTACATTTCCCATACTTAGACCAACAGTGATACCTGTCCAACAACATAGTCCTTTAAATAAGTTGGGCGCTTGGAAACTCTGCCAGACCGCCGGGGACTGGTAGCCAAGTCCGGAGGGCCACACAGTTCTCGCTGAGGCTGTGGTGCGACCCTAGGTGGCGTTGGAACCAACTCCCCTGGATCCGCTGCTGTGGGTGGAGCCTCCGCAAGTGGAGTGGTCTGAGTCTGTTCTGAAACGGCTTGGTTCGGCTCCACGCTGGCAGTTTGCGAGGGAGGTGTAGGTGGGGCCTCGCCATCTGTACGTGTCTCTTCTGGAGCCGCAAGCGCAGTTGGGGGCACCTCGGTAGTGTCCAAGTCCCCAACCCTGCGCCTAAGCTGGTCTATGTGCCGTCGCCACAAGCGTCCGTCTTCGAGTGCCACCTGGTACGAGCGAGGTCCAGTGACTCCCACTACTGTGGCTGGCACCCAAGGTATGTCCCCCACATAGTTCCGGGCAAAGACCTGGTTTCCTGGA